GTTTAGTCCATTATCATCATGGTGTGGGACATGGCAGCCTCAAGGCAGCCACGGTGTTGGAGAAGGAGCTGAGAGGGGAGGAGGGGGAGCTAGGTCTTGATCCTGCAGGCAACAGGAAGTTAGCTGAACTAGGTGTAGCTTGAGCATAGGAGACCTCAAAGCCTGCTGCCACAGTGACATACTTCCACCAACGGGGCCACACCTACTTCAACAAGGCCACACCTCCTAATAGTGCCACTCCCTCTGGGATTATGGGGGTCAGTTACATTCAAACTACCACAGTGGCTGCCGGTATGTGCACATCTTGATGCACGCGTGGAGGTCAGGGAACAATTGCCAGTTAATCTCCCTACACTCTGTGGATCCCATGCATTGAACTCAGGTCATTTAGGCATCAAATACCTTTACCTGCTGAGCCATCTTGCTGGACCACAAGCCCCTTTTTCTAAACCCAGCGCTTGCTTGTGCAATGCTGTTGACTCATTTGTAGCACTGAGGACTTATTCCATGTAGCCACAGCAGTAGGAAACCGACCCAGCCGTGTGAGGTTGCCTGCCCTCAATTATCTTCAAAATGGGAGGTACAAATTCATTCCATTATTTCAGGCAAGATCATGTTTATGAAACAAGGTATAAATGATTCCTTTCCTCCACTAAGACCCACCCCACCCCCCCAGGCTGATTTTTGTCCTGTTGGTTTCTTTGTGACAGTTGGAGATGTCACACAGTACCTGTTCCATGCTTTGGAAATGTAAATCCCAGCCTTTGGCCTAAACCAACACAGTATCACTCTGAGCTCTGCCTGCCTGGCATGATCTGCTCTTGTTTCCCAGGGACCCAGACTGATCTTTCAAGAGAGCCGTCTTGTGAGAAGGCCCAGTCCAGAGAGGGTCTGGATGGCAGAATGCTAATCATAGGATGGGCAGGCCATTTTCCGGTGTCACCGGCTACTCAATCGTTCACCAAGTGAACAGGCAAATTCAAGAGCAAGGTTTGTGAGCTGGAGAGATGGCTCAGAGGTTAAGAGCACCGACTGCTCTTCCAGAGGACCTGAGCTCAATTCCCAGCAACCACATGGTGCCTCACAGCTATCTATAATGAGATCTGGTGCCCTCTTCTGGAGTGCAGACATACATGGAAGCAGGATTATTCATAATAAATAAATATATTAAAAAAAAGAGCAAGGTTTGATGGTCTAACCTGGGATGGAAACAGGGGATTGTTGGAGCAGTGAGGCATACAAGAAGCATACCACAACACCCAGGACGGTCCACAGTTCGGGGGTTCTACATGGGAGCACCCCCTAGGTCACAGAGCTTGGAGGGCCTTCTCGCGAGGCCATAGCTTAACGTGACTGAGTGCGCAGACATGTAAGGACCCCATCGTGAACAAGGTAGTGCCGGAGAAGTACCAGGAGCTCCCCCATCATCCTGTGTGAGAAGTCTTTTGACACTGAACTCGGGACCCCGAGGAACAAGTCAGCGGTGGAGCAGTCCCACCCTCTCCATTTTTCAGTGGCTTGTGTGACTCCTAAGGTTGGATTCTAAGGCATGGCTTGAACCACACTGTGTAGGGAGGGCGCTTGGTGGTCTTAGGGTCCAGTAGAGAAGACTGGCCAATGTAGTGGCATTTTGAAAATGCCAAGGCTGGTAACCAGGAGTCTGGGGATGAGACAGTTTCTCCCTTGTCTCTGGGGCCTGTGACAGTCCTTTCTTGGGCTAGGATATCATCTGAAGCCTCTTCTGTCAATTGCTTCTCTTTGGAGGCTGCTCCTTCAGCCCTGCTAAGCCAGCTTTTGCTTCCCCTGCGACCTCTAGCGACTGTCCCTGGTAGTACTTCCTGCTCCAGGGATGGGTTTTGTTCTGCTAGACTTGTGGAATAACCAGGCAATCCTGGAACTTACTGTTGTAGCACAGGGTGCTCTGAACTCATGAAGATTCTCCTGTCTCTGGCTGTCAGACAGGTATGAGCCACAACACCCGTACCCTAGGCTGTTTCACTTCACATGCTTTGAGGAGGGCATTTGACCTTTTTCTTGGAATTTTGTGGGGTGTGGAGGGGGCATACATCTATTTTCTAAGGCGACTATGCACATTTTACAATAGGCTTATTGGCGTATTAAGAGCACTTGACTCTTGAGCCTTATTCTGCTGGGATCCAGCAGTCAGGACAGATAAAGCTGTACTGTAATAGGCTCTGCACTGAAATGAATTGAAAGGATTCATAGACGATTACAATGATCTGTGTCTTTCCTGTGATTTTACAGTTTATTCGAGATGGCAGGCACTTCAGTAGCCAGAGATGATATAGGCACGGAAGAAAATGGCTCTCCCAGACCTGTAAATAAAATCTCGTCTGGCAAAGATGTCAGTGTTAATTCAAAACAGAAGCTAGATGTAGACTGTTTACTCTGCTTCCTAGACATTTACTGTTGGAAGAAGGGTTGATGGGAGATGATCTAGACATTTGAGAATGCAGCAGTCATTGACCTGGCAATGTGATACCTAGTTTTGGCTTTGCGGATTCACACCAATAGTATATAGAATAGTTACACATTCTCACCTCACAGTTGGATTACCCCTTCAGATCCCAGCCAGCTAGTGGCTGCACTCACTGGATGCTTTACTAAGAGTAACTGGCCCAGAGCTGTTTGGCTGGGAAGGAGTGAGTCCATACTCCAGCGTACTGGCTTTAGAGTCTAGAGCACGCATGCTTACCACTCTTCTGCACTGATTCTCAGGCTTCAGTTCAAAGGACAGTTGGTAAGTGCTTGTCTGCCATAGATGAAGCTCATGGTTTATTCCCCAGTCCTACCTAAAGCCAGATGTGATGGCATATCCCTGTAATTCCAGAATTTGGGCGGACTGTAAGTTCAAGATTGTCCTTAGCTATGTACAGAGTTCAAAGACCAGCCTAGGCTATGGGAGATGCTGTTTCAACCCCCTACTCCACCCCCCAGACATAGTTTCTCTGTGTAGCCCCAGCTGCTGTGAAACTCTCTCTGTCAATCAGGCTAACCTCAAACTCACAGAGTTCTGTCTACTTCTGCCTCTCAAGTTCTGGAATTACAAACCTGTGTTGCCAATGGCTGGAGAGATGGCTCAGAGATTAAAAGCGCTAGTTGCTCTTCCAGAGGTCCTGAGTTCAATTCCCAGCTCACAAGCAACTATAATGAGATCTAGTGCCCTCTTCCGACATATATGCAGGCATACATATGAAGGCAGGCTTACCTGAGTTCAAGACCAGTCTGGTCTACAGAGCGAGTTCCAGGACAGCCAGGGCTATGCAGAGAAACCCTGTCTTGAAAAAACAAAAACAAAAACAACAAACTCCCCTGGACTTTCTGGATCCATATTTCCCAAACCCGCCCCCCCAAGGAGCTTGCATGGGTTGAAGGCTGCAGCCCCCTGCCCACCTCCCTGAAACTCCCCCACTAAGCCTCCCTGGAAGTCCTTCTACATGACAAGTGTCACATTAGATGTCTGTGATGGGAAATGGAATGAAGAAATTGGGGCTTCACCCCAACTTTTGAATATGAGCGGACTCATTTATTTAGTGTGTTTTGCTTCATATTTCTTGTTGTAGAACCCAACCATGCCATCTGAAAAGGGCATCGTAAGAAAACTGTTCACTGTTGTACCTTCCCAGAGACGCATTTGAGTCTTTGTGGCACTGAAACCCTTGGATGTCTTTGATCCAGAAGTGAAGACCAGACATTGTCCCACCTGTAAGAAGTGTGTCTCTGGGGGCTGAGGAGAGCTCAGTTGGCAGGGTCCTTGCTTGGGTTCAGTATCCAGCACTGTATAAGCCTGACACTGTTGCTAAGCTTAGAATCCTAGCACCTGGAAGGCGGAAGCAGAAAATTGAGTTCTGAAGCCGGTGTGGGTTCTGTTAATGAGTTCAAGCTCATCCTTGACAACATGAGAAACTGTCTTTTGGTTTTTTGAGACAGGGTTTCTCTGTGTAACAGCTCTGGCTGTCCTGGAACTAGCTCTGTAGACCAGGCTGGCCTCAAACTCACAGAGATCCACCTGCCTCTGCCTCCTGAGCACTAGGATTAAAGGCATGGGCCACCACCACTCAGCAAGATACTGTATTAAAAAAACAAAGTGAGTCTCCAAGGTGCCAACTCCTTGGACAGCCTCCTGTTGTGATCTGTGACAGAATACACATTCCTTGGACAGTTGAAGCCAATGTTTATCTATCGGTCTATCTGCCTGTCTGACATATGTTTTCGAAGATTGCTGGTGGTTTTGGAGAGTGTGTCTAGAGGCCCCACACTACTGTGTAATTGACCATTTCACTAATCTTCCCCCCTGATGCTCCTGAGGGGCAATCTCAAGAGTTAAAATCTTAACCTTTCCAACTCTGTTATTATTCGATCATTCCAAAAAGTCGAGGGGCATCCGTGGGTCTTTCGCAGGTAAGGTAAAGGAAAGAAGCTGCCCAATTAGAACTGGTTTCTCCTGGGAATCTGGAGTCTCATTCTCATTCAAAGACTTGGCGATACTGGGACAGGTCAGCTGATAATTGGTTACCTCTGATGATGAGGGCAGAGGACGCTAGTAGTGCCGGGGACCATCCTTGGCTCAGGTGGCCTTTGCAGCATCAGATTCCTCACCTATAAGAAGTTGGTCTCTACAGTGCTGCCACCTCTGACAGCCTTATGATATGATCTGAGAGAATTCATGTCTCCAACAGCCTTGGAGCTAATGTCCTGCCTGCCTGTCTGTCTGTCATGTTGCAAGGTGCCTGCCGGGCCCATTTGAGTTAACTGATTCTGTAGATCTGGTGTCTGGTGCCCCTGAGATGTGTGTTGAATGTTTGATTTTGGAATGAAACCCTTCCACTTAACCGTGGCTCAGTCCTCTCGATTTTGCGCTTGTGTGTGTGTGTGTGTGTGTGTGTGTGTGTGTGTGTGTGTGTGTTGGTTTCTCCTCTTTCTAATAGCAGCGCTGAGCGGACAAGCTTAGAAAGGGTGTTCTCTTCATGTTGTTTCAGGGAAAATAGAGAAAGCCAAACCTCCTCCATCCCCCACAACTGAAGGCCCCAGCCTGCAGCCTGACTTAGCCCCTGAAGAGGCTGCCGGAACCCAGCGGCCCAAGAACTTGATGCAGACCCTCATGGAAGACTATGAGACACACAAATCTAAAAGGCGCGAGAGATTGGATGATAGTAGTGTAAGTTTTCCTCCTTTCCTTTCTCTTTTCTGAGGGTGACTGTCAGCATGGTGTGCGTGTGTCCTAGCTCAGACCTGGATATGTTTGTGTGCATTTGTCTGGCTGTCTTGCATCGTGGATATGAAACCTATTTGTTTTTTTTTTTTTTACAAGAGTGTTTTTAGGACGGGTGGTGGTAGTGCACACCTTTAATCCCAGCACTTGGGAGGCAGAGGCTGGAGGATCTCTCTGAGTTCCAGGCCAGCCTGGTCTACAAAGCTAGTTCCAGGACAGTCAGAACTGTTACACAGAATATCCCTCTAATGTGCCTTGGGGGTGGGGGTGGGGGCTTGTGGTCTTGTTTCATATCATACACACACACAAAAAAAATCATCAAGAGCTGGTTGCTTGGCAGCTAAGTCAAGCTTGAGGTGGCGGGCAAGACTGGTAGCTGGCATGGCGGGCATGGAGGAAGACTGTGTGCCCGTGCAATGCAGTGAAGAAGATTGCACACCCCCGGGAAGGGCCCTCGGGCTTCAGAATCACTGCTGTGACCAGTCCTTATGTGCTGCTCACTGCTCAAGACAGCTGAGTATGTCCCAGGCCATTTTAGCAGAGCCGCCCAGCTACCTTCAACCCTCAGAACTGCCCATCCTGGTCATGAACGTGATAAAGGAAGCCATCATCTGCTCTGGGGTCTCCCTGTCCAGTAAGACACTTAAGAGGTATGCTGAATGGTCCGTCCTCTCTCCTACGAGCCTGGGGGCAGCCCCCTGTTTCGTGCAAACACTCTGGTATCTCTGGCACTGGTCTTTCGTCTTTCACCAAGGGCCCCTCCCCCTCCCCCCACACCTGAGGTCACAAATAGCTTGGCTTGATCAAACTTACCTGGTTTCTGCCTGTTGTCCCCGGTGCATTTACGCATATAGCATCTCCTTTCACTCTTCAGAGCATCCCCATTTGGAAAAAGCTGTGCAGTCGCCCTCAACTTGAATGCTCTGAGGTTCACAATAGAAAGAAAGTCCCCGCCAACTCAGTGCCTTTCACGTCCTGGCTGGACAGTCCCAAGTTCAAGAATTCCTGGGAGGAATGCCAGTGCTGTGGGCTTCTTTTCAATAAGAGCGATAAAGAAAAGATGAAAACACAGCATACATCCTCTGCCAAGTCATGAAGGAGCACTTGCTTAGCTACCCTGTGAGGCCAGGGGGCTTCTCTGACTAGAAACCCTGCCCTGGGTGGCTGCTGCAGACAGCTGTACTGGGTTTCACCAGGCAGTTGCCAGCAGCAGCCTGTGTCTACTAAGTCATGTTAGCAGTCCCTCTTTAGGTGGTGTTAGTTGTGATCTGAAGCGCAGTCTTAGCAGCATTTATATGGTTTCTTCTCTCCCTGAGATTCAGCAGTGCACGCTGGCAGCTTTGCTGGAAGCTAGCCGAAGAAGTCATGATGCAGGCAAATGCTTCTTAAGGACAGCGTATGCTTGTTGTACATGCTTTTTGCACTGGAGTGCAAATGTTCAGTAGGCAAATACTACATTTCCAGACCTGGTGGCACAGGTCTGTAATCTCAGACACTGGGAAGTTGAAGCAGGAGGATAACATAGTCAGGGTCTGCCTGGGACATAGTGGAAGGAGATACTCATGTCATAGGCAGAACACTAGATCCCTCCTTCAGGCACACTGACAGACACTCGGGCACCCACCTAAGGAATGCCCACCAGTCCCAGTTTCCTCCTCTTTGAATGAATGAAGCAGCCTGGAGTCAGCATTCTAATGCACTAATGGCCTCCAATATCTACTCCACCCAAGCAAACCAATAACCATGTTGGGTAAAAAAGAAACCTACTATTGAATCAGTTTATTTTTACTATTATTTGAAGGCTGGGTGTCTTGAACTTTTCCTGATAACACAATAGAATGAAATCTATCCAATCCCCTGTACCCCTCCCTGACCCCCATTTTAAAGAGACCCAAACCTCAGAAACCCATACTCAAATTGCTTCTTGAGAAATTACGTGGGCATCAGGCAAAATTAACCTCCAAACCACCCGTTAGCATATCTCCTAGCCCTTCTAATATAGGACATCTTTCTACTGTCTCTGTGTAGAGAAGAGTAAGTTTCATCCTTGCCACCCCCCACCCCAAGTGGGTCCCTAACCCTGTCTCCATTTTTCCTTGGCGCATGTTGCAGAAGGGTAATGAGAAGGAGATGGGTTGCTTGGTGGCAGCTAAGTACCTGGCTCCCCTGTCTCAAGGAGCTAAAGTTGATTCTACTGTTCTCTTGGCCGCATCCACACACATTGTTCGTAGGGTGACACGTGGCTTCTTGGATTTCCTCTCCTCCAAGAGCCTCCCCATAACTCACGGTGGCACTTTTCAGTTGTCAGGTGGCATTGCTGCTTGCTCCTTTGAAGACCAGAAGCCACCCCTGAAACCACATCAGAGCCATGATGGTCTCTGGAACCCCCTGATCCACAGTTCAAGGGCCTCCTCCTTCAGTTTCCCCACTCCATGAAAGTCAGCAGCTGAGGGTTTCTCTTCATCGGTAGCACGCTCGCTTAGCAAGATGGAACCCTGCGTTTCATCTCAGGCACTACATAAGCTGGGCGTGGTGGCGCATGGCCTGTGATCCCAGGTCTCAGGAGGCAGAGGCAAGAAGATGAAAAGTTCAAGGTCATCTTCTGCTACGTGGGGAGTTTGAGAATAACCTGGGCTTGAGACCCTGATTCAAAATATAAATCAGGAAAAAAAATCACGTACAGGATAAGCTTATTGGCTCCTGGCTTGGTAGAATTTTTGCCAGGGAGGGATGTGGGAAAACCACTCTGCCTTTTGTGGCCTTTGCTGTGTTTCTGAACTGACCTCCTGCTGGGAGCAAGGGGGTTATTTGAGGGCTCAGTTGAAGACTGGTAGAAACTGGAACCCTTTGGGGAATGCCTACTGACTGGGGGTGGTAACAGGAAGTTATCGTCTGTGGATGGCCTCATTTGTTTCAGAAAAAAAAAAGCTCAGTGACAAAGAACATGACAAAAACTCGCCTTGGGCAGACGACTCGTAGCAGTCCTCACGCGTCTGGACTGGCAACCTCGCTCCGTGTTGTCCCCAGTGAGTGTCCCCAGCAGCTAAAAGACTGTTCCGTTTCCTAGGTGCCCACACGAGTCCTAAATAATCATCTCAGGTGATCATCCGAGGACGGGTCCAGGTTTGGAATCTTATCCAGACCCACGAGGTTCTCATGAGAGAAGCTCTGGTCTCCCTAGTCAGGTCAGGGCCAGAGAACCTGACTCCACTGACTCCGCAAACCTGCCCCTCCACAAATGGGGGGAGAAAAATCTTGTTAATTCTGTGTGCAGAAAATGAAAAGTAACATCTTGAATTAACAAAGCTGGGCTTATCTGATATTTTCATTAATGGGTGAAACAGAGTATCTACTTGCCTCAAGAGATACAGACTCTTAAGTAAACAAATATCAGATGAAGCAACACGGGGAGAGGTTGTATAATGGTGCCCACAAGCTCTTCCTCCTCCTACTCACCGTCTGGCGTGGGAGGGGAGTCTGTGACTGTGTCTCTGCCATGTACTAACCCTGGTTTTCTTCCTCTCTGCCAGTACACCTCTAAGTTACTGTCTTGCAAGGTGACTTCCGAGGTACTTTTCAACTTGTCTGTCCGGGTCCTGATGCATGCTGGGTCCTTGTGCACACTGTCGTGGTTTGCTGTCTCCTGCTGTGTTCAATAAGAGTGGCGAGAAGAATGCCTTCTCCCCGTGTGCATTTTCTGCCTGGCCTTTCCAGACTGGGGAGCTGACTCACGTGCTGGAGTCCACACAACAGTGAACACTGCTGTGCTGTGCTGCGCTGTGCTGGGAATGGGGGGGTTGGAGAACACTGTTGTCCACCCATGGATCTGGAAGAACGTTGAACTGGAGGGCAATTATCGGCAGGCCGTGTAGACTCCTTTTTTTTTTTTTTCTCCAGGCACAAGTAGCAAATATATTCCGGTCTGGCTAGCACACAGTGCCAGCCCCCCTGTAGGCTGAGCTCGTGGTTCCGAGTAGTCCTGTATTAGCGTTAGCACGATCCCCAGGGAGCTCTGTGCTGTGGATGTGGGATGACCAGTTTCCAAAGGCGAACCGTCCCAGGCTCTCCCACCTCTCTCCCATCTTGGAACCTGTATTTTTGTTTTGAAAGCTCAGCTAAGCAGTAGCCTTTCCCCAAACCGCCCCTTCCCCACACAGCTTCCTTTTACTCCGATTTCACAAATACATGTGCTGTAAGAATGCAATCCTTAGTGGGGCTGGAGAGTGGCTTAGCAGTGTAGAGTGCTTGCCCTTCCTGTAGAGGGTAACAGGGAGTCTGGCTTCTAGCACCCACATCTGGTGGGTCACCATCTCCTGTAACTCCAGCTGCAGGGGATCTGATGTCCTCTCTGGCCTCTGCAGGCATGTGATCAATGTGTACATGCATCCACACACATACACATGCTCACACACGTTCATACATAAACTTAAAAATTTGAACAAATTTTAAAATGCAGTATGTACACAAATACACACACACACCACAAAATAGGGATTGAATCCAGTACACATACACATTTAAAAATTTTTTTAAAAAGTCCAGCATGGTGGCACATGACTTTAATCCCAGCACTAGAAAGGCAGAGGCAGGGTTATCTCTGTGAGTTCGAGGCCAGCCTGGTCTACATTGAGTGTTCCAGGACAGCCAGGGCTACACAGACCTCCCTGACCCCCCCCCCCAAATTAAAAAAAAAACTTAAAATTTATTTATACACACACCTATACATACATGCATGCATCCTTGGGGTGGAACCCAGGACTTGACACACATCAGACAAGCACTGTCTACCCTAAATTATAGTTCCAGTCCTATTTTTTTCCTTTTTAAAAAGACAAGTTTATTTTTTTCCGTATTTCTCAATTTTTTCTCTGTAAATTTTCATTTCTATAGTATGCAGGATGGTAGAGACGCTCATGCAACCAGTTCATAGTCTATGGAGGGTCGGCTGTGAGTGGGGCACTATGCAGCAGAGCCCAAGAAGGCGTCAGGCAGCACACTCCTGCAGTCCTGAGACATCTGCCTCCGCCTCTGTCCCGTTCCTACAATTTCATAGTGTTGGGTGGGCATTTCTCAAGCAATTCAGTGTGGCAAATCCAGTTCGAAGCCCTCTTGTTACTTCTCCCAGTTCCCATTTTCCTGCTTCTGTCCCTCTTTGTCTCCTCTGAGGGGGTCACTTTTAATGTCATGGTGTTCATTCTTGTGCATGCTTTGTATATATAAGGGACCCCATAGGTTTTTTTTTTTGCATGTTTTAAACTTTCTATAAATGGCAAGTCACATGATGGTGTCCTCTTCCTACTTTATCCAATTGCTTTTATTTTTGTTCATTCATATTTTTTTTTAACACTTAGTTTTATCTTTCATCTGTGTGGTGTTTGGGCTGCATGCATGTCTACCTGCAGTGCCCTTGGATGCCCAGAAGAGGGCACTGGCTCTCCTAGGCCTGGATTTAGAGATGGTTTGTAAGCTGCCTCAGGGGGTACTGGGATTCGAACCTAGGTTCTCCGCAGAAGCAGGCAGTCCCCTGAACCGCCAAACCATCTCTGCAGCTCCAGTTGCACTGTTTTTCAGATGTGTCCCTGTTTAACTTGAGGTCCTGGTGTAATCGTTAGAACTGCTGAGCGAGAGGGCAGGGGGTCTGTCGAATGAGTAAATCCTTTTCTATCACTTTCTGGTGTTTCTGGTGAACTTTGTTGGGGGGGGTTGTTTGTTGCTTTGTCGTTTCGTGCTGGGGATTGAACCCGGCTCCTCTGGCTTGGGGGAGACAAGTACCAGTGGACGCCACCACCCATCTTCCTGTGCGTGTGTGGGGTATTTTCTCCGCCCTTCAACTGGGCAATGCTTTTACTTGCCAGCTCTTGCAAATGTTCTTCGGGTTGGTTGTATTAACCTCCACCACCACATGTGTTTTGATTATAGCTCACTATTAGCAAAGTAGCTATATCTCATAGCTGCAGATTCAGTCTGGGGGTTACTGATGCGTAAGATTTGAAGCTGGTGCTAAGACTACCTTGGCATGCGCCTTCCTCATTGTCTGCCCGTGGTCCTCATTTAGGAAGTGGCCCTTGTGGAATCAGTCCTTCCCCCACATCCTCGCTGAGTCAGTACGGTTTAGAACAGAGAAACTCTGGATAAGGAAGATAGAATTGGGCCCAGTCGTCACCTAAAGAAGTAGAAGGATCACAGGTTAGCTTACTAATTAGTGGAGTTACTCAACAATTTAACCCGTTGTCCTTTGATTCATAGCCCTGGTTTGACTGACACTGACAGCTGCCTCCAAATGCCCGAGCATTAGAAAGACAATTAGTTTTAGAGCTTCTGCAACAAGAATCGAGAGGCTTCCAACCAGACCCAAATTTGAATTAATTTGTGAAGTGTTGAGTGAAGCCTTCCAGCCAGCCTGGTTCCAGAGCCCCATCAGTCCCAAATGAACACACAGGAGGCCATATTAAATATGAAGCTGTTGGCCGTTTTCTTGTTTCTTACTGGCTAGCTCTGACTTAAGTATTTGCCCCATAATTGTTAATCTAAGTATTTCCTCTTACCGGAAGAAAGGGGTCCGGACCTCTTATTCCTATGGCAGCTACATGGTGGCTCCCTGTGTTTCTCTTTCCCAGAATCCTCCTCGACTCCTAGTCCCACCTATCTTGCTTCCCTATTGGCCAACAGTGCTTTATTGACATATGTACACAGGACTTTCCCGTCAGTGAAGACATTAAGAAAACCTCATTTGAGTTTTAAAGGATTTTTGCAGCACCTGGTGTTTCACAACTGTTGAGTAGCCATGTGGCTTGATGGCCTCAAGCGTTGACTCCACACCTAGAGAGCTGAGTTTAAATCTTGGCCTTTCCTTCTACTGACTGAAAAATGCAGAGCAAGCTACTTAACCTCCCCCATGTGTCAGCCTCCGAGGAACTAAATGAGAGCAGTAATGGCATGAAGCTTCCATTAACAGTCCTGGGCATTAAAATAGTAACTGGTTCATACACAGTACTTGCGATCAAAAGTGTACTATGACTAGAGCCCCAGAGGCATTCACTTTGGGCTCAAAAGAGGCTGCAGAAAGCAAAGCTAATGTTCACCAATAGAAGTACTAAGAGTTTCGAGTTCACTAGCAATTTCGATATACACCCTCACCCACATTTGAATTAACTATAGAATAAGAGTTCATTCACACCTCCCCTGAGGCCTTGGCTTTTTTGGGGGGGGTTGAGACAAGGTTTTTCTGTGGCTTTGGAGCCTGTCCTGGAACTTGCTCTTGTAGAAAAGGCTGGTCTCGAACTCACAGAGATCCGCCTACCTCTGCCTCCCGAGTGTTGGGATTAAAGATGTGTGCCACCAACGCTCGGCTGAGGCCTTGGCTTTTGAATCTTCCCAAGACCTAGTGTAGGACTTTACTCCATGATAGTCCTCAGTTCTAAGCTTCAAGAGCCCACAAGCAGCTTTACTCTGGGGTTCTCAGCCATTTCAATACTGGCTCACTCATTTTCTTTTCTGTGTCTTAACCAGGGGATTCAGATTTTATCAGATATTGGGAATCACATGAAAAGGACATCCGAATTAGAGGGAATGGATTAGGAACTCATTATCACATACAAGAGTTATTTGAGTTGTTGATCAATAGATGTTCCAACTCAAGCTATGCTAAATATTTGTTTCTGCAATTATAGATATAGTTGTCCTACCTCCTGCACCTTTTGTGACTAAATTCTATGAGGAAAGGAGCTCTCATATCCCCCAAATGCAACACCGTTCCTGTGACGTGTTGGGAACCCAGTCAACATTGGTGAAATGATTGGACAGGTGGATACCAACCTGGGTTTCTGAAGAACAGAGCGAGGAAACTTGACTGAGATTTATTAAACATTAAAAGGAGACTTAAGGTCACGTGTGGTACCCACACGAAATTAATCTTGGTACTCTGGGGGCCGAGGTGTAGATTGTGAGCTCTTGGATAGCCTTGGCTACAGGACAGGAACTTGTCTAAAAGAAAACGAAGAGAGGACCCAGAATCATGTGGGTCTGCAGACTTGAGGCACCAAATAAACACTGGCCAACGTTAGACACCCCTTCCCCACCCTTGGTTATGAGTCAGCTAAGTGAGTCTGTAGCTGTGCCATTCAAAACGGTGACTGCTAGCCCAGGGGGCTGTTTAAATTATGATCCACAAAAATACTTCATTTCTGTCTGACGGTACTTCAAGGGCCTACTGGCCACGTGTGGAATAGCAGCTGCCACCTTGGATGGCACAGATGAACAGTTTCATAATGGCGTAAAAGGTCTGTACGCACAGCAGGACTGGACAGCTTGTAGAGAGCTACCTTGGAATAGTCAGGTCTGGGAACCAGGTAGGAACACCCAGAAGAGTGTTTGCCCAGTGTGCCCGATGCCCAGGTTCAGTCTCCAGCACCACAAAAACAAACCCAAAGAAAAGACTATACTTTCAGGGATCATTTCTATAGTTCGTTACAAACCCAAAGAAACCTGAGGCAGAGTCAAGTCTGGTTCAAGAAAAGAGAAAAATGGTATTGGAAACCGTGCTTCAGATAACAAGTGGATTTGGGCTTTGGAATGAAGTCATATCCAACCCATCCCAATTTGTTCGGTCTCTGCTCATCGCCTACCCCAGTAGTACCGGATCCTGCATTACCACCTTCGTCTTGTGAACACGGCGTTGAGTGAGGGAAGAGAAGGAGGAAGTTGGTCTTTATGAGGTCTGTTAATTTCTTCCCCTCTCTTTTCAGGTCCTGGAGGCCACACGGGTTAATCGAAGAAAGAGCGCTCTGGCCTTGCGCTGGGAGGCAGGGATTTACGCCAACCAGGAGGAGGAGGAGGACATTGAGTAAACTTCCCGCAGCCCAGGAGACTCCTTTGCTTGAGGAGTTTCAGCAAAGCAAGAAATTACCAATTCAGAAGCATTTTAACAGACTGTTTATTAAAGTGTGTACAAACTCAACAACCCTCGTGTAGACCAGAGGCTGCAAGGCACCATGACTGAGAACACACACACACACAAAAAAAAGAAGAGGAAGGGTTGTCCACCCATCAAACTCCACCAGAGACTTGGAAGAAGAGAAAGGATTTCTTCGTGATTCAAAGAAGCCCCTGGCTTTGGACATTCCACAACCGATCCAAAGGGACACAGACATGACAAATGAGTCAGCGTGGTTGCTGCAGGCAGAACCGAAGGCCGGGTGACCAGGAGGAGCAAATGGTGGCACGGCCATTCTGAGGCAACGAACAAGCCCAGGCTGGTGCCGGTGCGGTTCTACAGCTCCGAGGCTATTCCTCCACGCTGGCCTCTCACCCCTTCCTCTCGAGGCATCGGAAGTGTTGGGTTGACCCCGTTTCCTCCAGCGCTCGTGAAAACAGAATGGTGTTTCTTTCCACGGCTGCCCAAAAAAGGGCAGCGATGATTCAGTCTCTCTTATGTGTGTGTAATCATTTTCAACTGGGGACACTTAATGATCATAATATATAAAAATGCGCATTTTTCCAGACGCCGTCGCCTCGTGTTGCAGGGGCAATCTATTCAACAGTAGGAGGCTGGGGATGGTAGGGAGAGAGCCAGAGAGCCAAACCAAATGGGTTGTTAGGGTTAGGACCTTGTCTGCTTATCACACCTTCACAGTTATGTTCTTAGGACCTTGTCTGCTTATCACACCTTCACAGTTATGTTTCTTCATATGAAAACTATATTTGGTGGGCAATGACTTATTTTTTATGATGGGATGGGGGGAATAGAAACATGGATAAAAATCTGTACACATTGAACAGCTTAGTTCAAGATGGTTAGGGGGTATTTTTTAGAACGGCAATAACTGAAAACAAAAGGGGGCAGACTCTGCCTTAGAAGGGTGGGTGATCAGAAATGCGGTGTTTATAACTATTTTGTATTTTGAAATGGGCCTTAGGTGGTTGGGGCGCAGGACGGGCTGTTTTGCATCTGAGTAAGGTAGCATTAAAAGTCATGGAGGTGGAGAGAGGAATGGGGTGGGAGGGAGGAGGAGATTATTTTTGCTGAGCAACCAGTGTTTTTCAGGATGACAAAGAGAAAAATAGAGAGTAGAAATTTAAAGTGCAGACACGGAATCAGCTACAAATCCTAAAGATGGTGTGTATGCTTCTTGTGTGCCTGTGTAAAGAGTGTATGTTCACGAGTAAGGGTGTGACTCTGTGTGTGTGTGTGTGTGTGTGTGTGTGTGTGTGTGTTGATCGTGACACATGGGCGGACAGTATTTCCTCCATAACTGTCTGCCAGGTTCAGGAGTGAGTGACACGTTTCTTTTTTATGAAAAGGGATAAAAAGGCACAGGGCTGATGCATTTCCAATATTGAAGTGACCTGACATGGTATTTGCGTGAGTCACAATTGTGAAGTTTTGTGCGGCTTTTTGTATTGATAATCTGACATTTAGAACACATCCTATTTATTCTCGTGCTTTGTGTTCATGTCTCATGCGTTATAGAGGGTTCCAGCTTTACTCTTCCTGTCACTTAAAGCAATATGATGAGGGCGGTCCCGCTAATCTGGCAAGGAGCGGGAGAAGGAATGGGAGGGAGAGGAGGGAAAAGAACTAACCGGCCTTCAATATTTCCCCTTTATTTTAAAAACCATTTCTTAAAAGCAATAATTAAATCAGACCTTGCTAAAACTCATTTTTGTTTTTACGTTATTATGTCGTAAGACTCAATATGTTATTCTGATTAAGTAAGCGACTCCATAATACTTACATGTACCTTGCCACACGCTGTCTTTACTCTTTCTATCAGACTAGCGTTGACTCTGGGGGAAAGCTTATTCACTGATAAGTAGTGAGCACTAGGTAAAGAGGAATTGTTTTACGGCCTGTAAGGATCTTTAAGAACTGCCAAGGGACCCTGCAATTCAAAGCCAAATTCTGCAGAGGGCAGCCAGATGGTACCAGGGAAGTACACACACACACTGCATTTAGATGGTCCATCCTTTTAGACAAATTTTTTTTTAAAAAACGCTAGACACTGGGGACAGGAAACAATTGAGAATCATGCTGCTGCAGCGAGGGGTTTGCTTTGTAGTATCGAGGAGGGGCGGCCCAGAAGCAAATGTCCTGGCATGTGACGTCCATGTCAGATGTTAGAAGTCCTATGAGGTAGACGGGCACGCTGAAAGGCACATCTTTGTCGAAGGATTTGGGGCTGGAGGCCCCAGATGCCTGGCTTGAGTACTCAGTGATGTGAGTGTTGCTCCCTAGGGAAATGGGGGCAGGGGATGGGGATGAGGACACATGGGGAGGGCAGCTGTGTCCCAAGGCCCCACACAGTGGCAGTTAGAGAGGCTAGAGAGTAGGATGGTACTTTGTCACACAAGAGAAAAAAAAGCTGCCTCGTGTTTTCCGGGATCTGCTGGAGGGAGTGGGGGGCAAACCTACCCCCTCGTTTTTTTTTTTTCACAAGAAGAAACACTCCTCACGATATCCTATTTGCAAGGGAGCCTTGGACCTGCACAGAGGTTACGCTGAGGAAGGAATTGGCGGCTGTGGAGCCCACACAGCCCACCGTGTTGGTTCGATGGTAGATGACGTGGTCTTCTCTCTGCCGTAGAGTGAACAAAAAGTTCTGAAGGATTGGGGGTTAAAACTGTGTATTTAAAAAGCATAGCCTAAGTGAGTGTTAGAGATGGTGAAAGTATCCAGTTTCAGTTGCAAAACTGATTTTCTGAATTTTAGTCGTTCAGTGAGCTGCCAATTTTTATTGGGGGGTTGTAAAGCCAGGGTCCTTCGGGCACCCAGGTTCTGTGACTCCTTCCGGGTCACACATCTGGTTTTTTTTTTCAGGTTGGTCCCTCCATTTTCCATTTCCTAGTTTGACCGGTCTCCCTGCCTTCTGATGACTGCCATCAGCTTCCTAGCTCTCCTTGCTGGCAGTTCTAGTGTGGGAATCACAGTTCCATGGGCGAGCCAACTTTTCTCTGTGCTCTTGGGAGGCATTTTTTCTTTCTTTTTTTTTTTTCTTTTTGTTGTTGGGGGGGTGTTGTTTAATTGCTTTTCCTTATTCAAGAATCATTTGAGCCTTGGCTTTGGTCATATCGCTGTGCTGGGCTCTAGGGTCCCACTCACTGTCTCGACGTGATCCAGCAGGCCCCGGAAAGAGAGTCTGTCCTGCTCCACAAACCTGAGGTGAGAGGCTCCTCACAGTTTTGCCTCGGGTGGGGCTAGGCTCTACCCTCGCATCAGCACACAAGCTTGTTAGTCTCAGCTGTAAGAAATGTTTAGCTTTTGTGGATGTTGGGGAAAAAAAAACCTTCCTGAGAGAATTCCACACCACCGCAGTGTTTGTACACTCCACTTGCCTCCAGAGCCAATGACTGGCCGCCCAGGCTTTCTTATCTAGGAATGAAGGAAGCGTGTCCCTTCTTACCCGTGCATGCTGTCCTAGGCAATGACATAGAAACCGTATATAGATCACTGCACACACACACACACACACACACACACACACACACACACACACACACACACACACGGAACACCAAAACAGTGTTGATTGTTGTCCTTTAAAGGTGTTTTTTTTTTCACCCGGAGAATGGACTTAAAACTATGTATTTAAAAAAACATAGCCTAAGTAAGTGTTAGAGATGGTGAATGTATCCAGTTTGGGTTGCAAAACTAATTTTCTGAATTTTAGTCATTCAGTGAGCTGCCAACTTTTATTTTGTGTTGCTCTTTATCCAAAATGGCTTCTCCTTTCCTTTTTCTTTTCTTTTTTTTAATCGGAGGAAGGGTGGGGGAGGGGGAAGCAGCAATACCGTGTTTTTAAAAATTATACTCTGTACCTGGCTTTTTCCTGTGTTGTGTTAACCACTCAAATGTTTTTATTCTGCTTCGGTTTTATAGCGAATGTGAGGTATCCAATGCAGCTATACAGTTATTTTCTCATTAAAACTCCACGTGTGTGCGGTGTTTTTCTTTTTTCACTTTTTTTTTTCCTTAAGGGGCGGCTACTTGTTTGACTGTGGAAGGAGGTTGGGAGGTTAGACGGCCAAGCTTTGAGGGGCACGCCAGTGCCCTCGGTCTCTGCCTCTGGCTTCACCGTGCGTGGGCCCGAAAGAAGTCACGGTGGCTGATAAGACCGTCCCTGTGACACACGACCTGTGTCAGGAACCGAGGAAACGCTGCGGGGATGTCCCTTGAGGAAGCATTTGGACTTCAGAGCCCAAACAACAGAATGAGCGCCTCGGGTGTATAGCCTTGTAGCTCATTCGAGTGAAAGGTGGGAGATCAACTTTCGTTGTTGAACCTCAAGAGCTGTTTTTACGAGGCAGGGTCTCTTACTGGCTGGCCCTGGTGAGGTAGTCCAGGCTGGCCCTGGGGATCGACTTGTTTACACCTCACTGTCACTGGGATCATGTGGGTGTGCGTGCCACCACAACGGGTCTGTTTTTTTCCTGTAGGTTCTGGGAATTGAACCCAAGTCCTCGTATTTGCTCAACAAGCACTTTTCCAATGGAGCGGACTCCTCTGCTCCTAGTGCTAACCCTCAGCCCATTCCCAGCATGCATCTGTCTTTGGCTCTCCTCTGTGAAAGGCTTGCAGACTTGAAGGACAGGAGGAGCAGGAGCTCTTCAGGAACGTCCCCCCTTTCCTCTTCCACATCTGCCCATCCCTCCTTCCCATCAGTCTCCAGATACTCATCTCTTCACCCAGCCCCTGCACCTCCCTGAACCCTGTCCCCCAGTTTCCTGTGCCTCCCCAGTTTTTTTAAACAGAAAACTGGGGTGTAACGTGCATTCTTCCCGCCAGCCTGGTCCCTGAGCTGCGTCAGTCCCAAATGAACACACAGGGCGCTATATTAATTATGAAGCTACTGGCCATTTGCTACAGTTTCTTAATGGCTAGCTCTGACCTAATTATTAACCCATAATTACAAATATATATATTAGTAATATATTATAGGCCAGACTTGCACCCTCTCCTCCTGGGATCACACAGCCACTCTCCACTCTTGACTACATTTCCCAGAATTCCCCTCGACTCCTAGTCCCACCTATCTTGCTTCCCTATTGGCCAACAGTGCTTTATGTATCAACCGATAAGATAACACATGCACAGAAGGACCTCCCCCGTCACTGGGGTACTGGCTTCTGTCTGATGTGGTGCTGCGGACACGGTGGCTCTGGGGAGGTTTGAGTAACTGCTGGGAGAGTTTGTGCATTGTCCCAGCATGCCCGTTCACCATCTGTGTGTCTTGGCGAAGCAGCTTTGAGGTGCCTCCTAGATTCTCAAATGAGGTACCTCTAGCAAAAGACAGCATGTTAAGAAGAAACAGGGCATGGTAGAGCGTGTCTTTCATACAGTTCTTGGGACTGATATACATACAAATCACAGGGAAACCCTGTGTAGGCAGGGGAGAGGAGGGAAGATAAATATATATATATTTAAATTTCAGGTCAAGGTAAAGGCATTTGTTCAAACATCAGAAGAACTTTTTTTATTGTGTGGAGTAAAAGCAATGATATGTTGGCTTAACATAAAAATTCAACAGTGGGCTGGAGAGATGGCTCAGTAGTTAGGAATGCATACTGCTCTTTACAGAGGACCCAAGTCTATTTCCTAAAGCCAAAGTCTCTTTTGGCCTGTGTGAACTACTGCACACATTTACACACACCTATATGTAGATACACACATGTACATATAATTTTCAAAGTTTCTTTTTCAAAGCCAAATTATATATACATACATACATACTCCCAGCAACTTTGGTTTTGATGCTGAGCACTTTAGGCCAAACTCTGGCCTGACTTTTTTAATGTTTTGTCTTAAACCAGATGATATTTTGTGTTTTGGCATTACTGTGAATTTGGCATCTCAGGAAGAGAGCCCAGCCATTGTGCAATAGTCAGGCAAACAGATCACTGACAAAAACAGCTTGGGGGAAATAATGATATTTGTACTTGAGAGTCACGGGACTGAAAAGCATCCCTGGACAATTAAAACCAAATGTGCAAGCCTGACCTGGTGTGCAGACCTGCGTCCCCAGCTACCTGGGAGACTAAGACAGGAGGTTCACAGATTCAAGGAGAGCCCGAACAGCTTAGAGAGATTCTGTCTCCAAAAGTAAACAGAGAATTGGGGATGTATCTGTGTGTGGGGGGCATTTGTGTAGCACAGAACGTCCTTAACTCAGTAGTTCTCACCATGTGGGTCTAGACCCACAAGGGGGGGGATGGGTGTAGAATGACCTTTTCATAGTGGCACTAAAGACCACCAGAAAACATAACAGTAGCAAAATTACAGTTATGAAATAGCAATGAGAGCAATTTCATGGTTGGAGGTCACTGCAACATGAGGAACTGTATTACAAGGGTTGAGGCATCAGGAGGGCTGAGAACCACTGACAGAGGACCAGGTGGAATTCCCTTGTTTTCAGTTAATGTTAAATGCTCATCTTCGCCCACTAGTGGCCACACGGTGGCAGTGGTCTCTAAAGTAAAAGCAGTCCCTAGCCAGGAGACATCCTTGGGGGTTCCCACCCTTCAGAATAGGAAGGAATCCCTTAAACACTTCCAGGAGACACCACTCTGGCCAGGTGCGGTGACTCGCACCGGTAATCTCAGTGCTTGAGTGGCAGAGACAGAAAGATAGGCATAAATTCAAAGTCAGCCTGGTCTACACAATGGAGTTTCAGGTCAGCCTAGGCTGCACAGATATTGTCCCAAAAACAAAACAAGGAGCTGGAAAGATGGCTCAACCATTAAGCGCTCTTACTGTTCTTAAAGGGACCATGGTTTGGCTTCCCAGTACCCAGGTCAGGTTGTTAGAGCTGCCTGGACTCCGGCTCTGGGGAACCTGACACTTGGCCACTACATCTGTGACACACACACACACACAGAGACAGACAGACACACAGCTGTGATACACACACAGAGACAGACACACAGCTGTGACATACATACAGAGACAGACAGACACAGCTGTGATACACACAGACAGACACACACACAGCTGTGACACACACACAGACAGACACACAGCTGTGACACACACGCAGAGACAAACACACAGCTGTGACAGACAGACACACACTTGTGACACACAGACAGACAGACACACAGCTGTGACTCACACACAGACAGACACACAGCTGTGACACACACAGACAGACACACAGCTGTGACAGACAGACACACACTTGTGACACACACAGACAGACACACAGCTGTGACTCACACACAGACAGACAGACACACAGCTGTGGCATACACACACACAGAGATAGACACATATCTCTGGCATACACACAGAGAGACAGACACACACAAAATAAAAATAAATCTTCAAAATGGAACAAAGCTGGGCTGCTGGTGTACACCTTTTAAATCCAAGCACTCTAGGGCAGAGCTATATCAGTTTGAGGACAGGCTAGTAGTCTCAGAGCCAGCTCTAAGCCAGCCAAGGCTACATAGCGAAACCCTGTCTCAAAAGAGCAACAATAAAAAGAAAAGAAAAATCAGTCCTAATAAAGGAGTAAAACTAGCTTGTTTAAATTCTACCTTTGGGTCAAATGCGGCACCGACCGTTGTGGCTGGATACGGCATGCTTCTCCCAGGAGTGACAGCCCACGGTTCTTACCTGCTAGCTCTGCCGGAGACACTGTGCTGAGTGCCTCACAGGGATCCGTTAAGCCACTTGTACCACTTCTAGCATGGTCCCCACATTACAAGTGAAGAGTTGAGAGTCTGAGTGACGTGCTCAGCTGTGACAAAGAGAAGACCCCAAGCCCAGCCGTCCTCACCACGGCCCTTCCTCCCACACTTTCCCCCATCGCAACCCAGTAGCTAGCTAAGCTCTTGTCAGGCAGGCTCTGCTCTCTCTGAGACCAGGGAAACCTGTCTTCAGCGTGGGCCAGCACCAAGCAGGTAGGTGGTGCTCTTTAAAGAACAAAGCCAGTTGCATACCTTGAGAAACAGGGATTGTGTGTGGCATGCAGATAGTGTCACCCCCCCCCCTCCGCCAGGGCCAATGCATGAACATCCTGGCTCTTTGCAACAGTGTTCCCAAGAGCTCAGGCGTGTGGCCTGCTTTCCAAACCATCACAGACAGCTACTGAGTTAGGAAGATGTTCCAACCTGCCGTGAAAATAACTTCATTTTGCTAACTTGCAGTGTCTGTATTCCTTTCCTCTTGTTGTGAACACACACAGACACACACACACACACACACACACACACACACACACACACACACACTATTTTAAAAAATCATAGTGGTACTAGGCACCCTTTTCTGCACTGGATAAGTTAGATGGTCAATAAAGACGTCCAATCAATAATTTAGTGGCAGTAGAAAACAAAAACTCACCCAAATACTCAATCCCCAAGAACATACATCATGGCATGCTTCCTAAAGACCACTCATGAAGGATGGAGTCCCATGGGGATCACCACACATGGGCACATATAAACTGTGTTCTGCTGTTTCTTGGCTGTTACCAATGTCTCGCTTTTCAGAACCTCTCCAAGAGGCCATTTACACTTACATTTGAAAAACCTCAATACACCCCACCCCTTTTTTGAGACTCAGAAGGTTGCCTCAGTGGAAAATTCCCCAAGGTCCCTTCCCCTAGGCAGGGAACAAGGTCTGATTAGAAAGAACATCTGGTCCAGAGTGCTGATGCAGGACACCGGCAGGCTGTTAAGATAAGTTTAATCTTGACCTTGTGGTTTCTCCAGGAGGATGAGTTATGCCCGCGCCTCTTACAATCCCGTATTGCTTGCCCAGATCTGCACCTGCAGTGGCTCCGCTTTTTACAATACCCCTATTACTTTGCTTGCCAAAAGTATGTATATAAAAAGAAAACTGTCCTAAAGCCTAGCACGCTCAGTTAGCTAAGGCTGCTGAGTCGCCCACAGACGCCTGTGTAAGCAATAAACCTCTTGCAGTTT